TTTTACCTTATCACTTTTCTTAATCCCATTTGTAGAGCTGACTCCCTTTCACTCTTATCTCTGTGTGAGCATTAGGTGGTGTTCCTGCTGAGGGTGATTTTCAACAAAGACAACAGGAAAATGTCCCTGCAGGTCAAGCAGAACAAATCAAAGGCAGTGCACTGGATGCAAAACGTCTTTTCAAAAGACTCTTCGCCTCTCTGTGTGGCAGCTTAAATGACCTAAAAAATAGCCACAAACACAGAGTTTACAGAGAAATAAACAAGAACATTTCAGGGTATGTAAGATATCAATGCATATCCCAGCTGTTACAGGGTAAGATGCAGGGTACACAGAGGCAGAGCCTTCAGCTATCAGACCCCTTTCTGTGGAACAAGCTCCCACTCTGGGTTCAGTAAACACACACCTGCTCTGCTGCTAAGATTAGGTTTAAAACTTTCCTTATTGAATCCTTGTCTCTCTGCGCACCTCTTTTGTCTCCTCCTTTCCCCATCGCCCACTAACTCGTCACAGAAGATGGCTGCCCTCTTTGAGCCTACTTGTTACTGTAAACAAAGGAAGTTTGTCATTCCCACTGTGGGGTTTTCTCTAATATTGGTGAATCTTTAACCTTACAATATATGGCAGCTTGAGATGATCATTGTTGCGAACATGTGCTATATGAATAACATTGACCTTAAATGAATTTACTTAATTGAACGCAAGAAACAAGGACAAAAGCTGCACAGTGATCATCTTATCTCACTTATATCGACTGTTTCCAACTAGCAGCCCAGACTGTACAAGACTCAAGCCCAATTTGGTCCGATTTGATGCCTAAATTATAAATATAACTGTCTCAACAGCCCCAATATGTGCCCTTGCCTTTAGGGGAAAGGCCTGCCTCCTTGTATAAGAACAGACGAGAGCTCGGCATGCTCCCCGCACAAGCCCTTGTAAGGCAGAAGTTTCTTAGCTTTTCTCCGCGTTGTGTAAATATAGGCTCCTTGACCAAATTGTATCAGCTGCACACACACTCAGACACACACCCTCTCCCCTTCTGTGACCTCAATGTTGTGGGGTTACACATACAATGGTTTCACTCAGGCAGAGCCAACCAGCCAGCTTACTGACGATCTAGCTAATTCTAGTAGCTACAGTCAGTGCATAGAGCACTAACTACATAGAGGAGCGGGTGTGGGAGGGCGGGATATTGTTATCCCAAAACTTGGAGCTCTGCCCACAGTTAGAGGAGGGGGTTGTTTTCAGGTACTACATCTGTTTGTTTTTCCTTTAGCAGGCTAAAAACATGAATGGATGCAAACACAAGCAACCTTTGTGGCTGTGAAGGGTCGGGGGAAACGTAGTCGTACACAGACATATAACTTCTACACTGATATAAAAACCAAACGCTCAAGATGGTTCTGGATGTTGTAAAATAAGAACTGAAAAGTCCTTTTCTATTTCAAAATAAAGTGGCTCACCCAAAAGCCATAATAAAACTTCCTCTTCCAGGTTTGCTTCCACCTTGTTTGTTCTGCCAGCAGCTTTCCAGCTCTGTTATAATGGTCCTGTCAACACTTTACAATGGTGTTTTTATGAGGCAAAATCACTCTGGTCCACAGGGGATTTTTTTTTTAGCTCTACTTTGCTACTGGAAGAAAGATGTGCTGACATGCCATATTAAGATCTATTAATACATCCATGAGGCTAATCAGCATGCACAGGAAATGAGGAAAACTCTCCATGGTTAACCAAAGCATACATGGAGTTCATTTCCATTTTTAGACCTGCTAAACTATCCAAAACATGATGTATGGCAGACAAAACAGGACGGGAAGTAAAATCTTGCCAAAATGTCACACAGAGTATAAGATTACCACAAGCAAAGTAAATTCCAACCTGCCATTTTTTCCAAACAGTTTGTTGAAATTATTACATTATTCCCCAAATCTCTCATACTAATGAGCTCTCAGACAACTCCAATCCCTGCAGTCCCTCGCTCAGCTTGTTTTATGACTTTACAGATCTTGACTGTACAGTCTTGGTTCACTCTCATCGACCTAATTTTCAGCAGCTGCTAACATGATAGGCACGTCAGCTTCACGAGATCTTAACATCATTTGTAGTCTTTTCCAGGCCTAAAATAAAGCAAGTCTGTCGAAGCTGCAGGCGTGTCACTTTGTCAGCGACGTGTGACGCAAATGTACACGTTTTTATTTGTAACTTATTAGTAAAAATGCTTTGCACGGAGCATTTGGTAGTAATAATAACAACAAGCACGGTTTATCTGTATTGTACTGACTGGAATCTCCTTTATTTGGATGAAAGGCAACCTTCTCATTAATTACGACGAGTAAAAGGTCAAAATGAATGAAAAACACAAATGGATTATCTTTCCTCTCAGTGACAAATAAAGTCACTGTTCTGTCTGCTTTAGTTTTAGCAGACTAATCTGTGGGGCTTGTACCTCCCGGCAGTTTCAAAATCTACTAAGAGGAGCTCGGACATATTCTGATCTAAAAAAAATTAGGCTAGGGCAGCTAAATCGGGGCTAAAATTAGAACCAAAACATGCAGCGGCTCCCCCGTGTAATGTGTCCACAGGAGACACACTATATTTTTTTGTTACTTTCGATGCCTTTTCCTGCTTTAATATTACGCATCAAGAGCACACCAGTCTTTTGAATTCAGCTGAAAGCCTTTAAATTTCCAACATTTGGCTGATCTCAGTGCTGGCCTTCGACACAACAAACACTTGAAGTGCATGTTTGGGATCCCGGTTCCCTGTGGCGGCTCATCCCGGGTGAGCCGGCCAGGAGTCACGGTGTCCACAGAGCGACTTCCTATTCATGTCCCCTTGGTTATGTAAGCTAGGACATCGCGCTAATGTCAGTGAAGGGGAAGGAGAAATTTGAAGAGGAAAAAAAAGAAGCAAGAGGGGGGTTTACATGGAAACTACAAATAGTACAAATAATGCTATGGCTGTTTCTCACATTTTTCTCTTCACACCCTCTCCATCTCCTCTACAGACTCCAGTACCCTCCAGACAGAACTGGACTTGGCATATTTTCAAAAGGCAAAGATGACACTGGGTGCAAATCCTCGGGAGTCCACATCTCCGAGGATCTCGCCTGGACGACCAACTGCTCCAAGCTGGTCAAGAAGGCTCACCAGCGCCTCTTCTTCTTGAGGACTCTGAGGAAGAACCACCTGTCCTCAGACATCCTGGTGAACTTCTATCGTTGCACCATCGAGAGCATCCTGACCAACTGTATAACAGTCTGGTACGGGAACTGCTCTGCCTCGGACCGGAAGGCGTTGCAGAGGGTCGTGAAAACTGCCCAGCGCATCGCCGGAGCACCACTTCCTGCCATAAAAGACATCTACAGGAAGCGGTGTCTGAAAAGGGCTGGGAAAATCATCAGAGACCCCAGCCACCCATCACATGGACTCTTCACCCTCCTGCCCTCTGGGAGGCGCTACAGGAGCCTCCGCACTAAGACCACCAGGTACCGGAACAGCTTCTTCCCCACAGCTGTCAGACTCCTGAACTCTGCCTCCTGACATCTGACCCACGTTAACACATGGACTGAACATACACACACCCACAATGGACAACTGTACCCTCAAACGTACAATAATAACATGGACTGAACCACCACTCACAACCACTAGCACTTTATATAGCCTCTGTAGAAACTATATCTCACTTATCTTAACTGCACTACTGTATAGCTCTGTGTAAATAATCATTCTGTACATTCGTTAATTTTTAACCCTACAACTGTTTACAACTTGCATAGTTCCCATTTCTGTATAGCTGTATATCTCAGATTCTGTAAAGTTATTTATTTCATATTCTGTATAGTTTTTCATATTTATATCCTGTTCATATCCTGTACATAGCTTGTACTCACTACAGCCTGTACATACTTATAGTTATAGAATATTCACAACATACTTCATACCGTGTACATTATAACATACCATAATAGACCCATTCTGTAATATACTTACATATCTATACTATTGCTAATATATATTGTAATATATCTATATCACTAAAGCACTTCTGGATGGATGCAAACTGCATTTCGTTGCCCTGTACCTGTGCATGTGCAATGACAATAAAGTTGAATTCTATTCTATTCTATTCTATTCTATTCTAAATGATAGCATGCCCACTGTGACCGGAGGTCTGGTTCTCTGTGTGTGCATGCTGTGAGGCAGGGTGTAAGCCGGGTAATCTCCAAGCAGATCCGAACAAGGTGAAGGGGAGATGAGATATGTGCTCTGACATTTTAGCTTCTAAGGTGTCCCCTTAAATGGCATTACAATTTAAAGAGACAACAGCGTTTCATCCATCCATCCATCTGAGGGGTTGGAGCATCTGGAGCGTATCCCAGCTGTCATAGGGCAAGAGGCAGGGTACAACTTGGACGGGTTGTCAGTTTGGGTCAGGGCTGTCACAGAGAGACAGGCAACCATTCACACTCATAGTCACACCTACAACCGGTTTAGAATTACCAATTAACTTAATGCCCATGAACCCAGCCATGGGCGGGCCACACGACAGCCTAGTGCTGGTCACAACCCTGGTACCTTGGTTATGTCAAGCACATGTTGCAGAGCTTATCCCAACATCGATCCTTAGAAGTAAATGTTTTCCACAACGCCATGAAATGTCTTCAACACACTCTTTGCTCTACTTTATACCTCACTGATAGCAGTGAGCTAGCCAGTGATAAATTCTTTCTCCCACTGTCAACGCCACGTCCAGAAAGACAGAATCAACATTTTTTGTGAGTGGCTGCTCTTTATTGTGAGACCTTGCTGCTCTTTTCCTCCCTTTTTTGTGAATTAATAATTTTGGTCGTTGTAGTTTGATGTAGATCCTGAACTACAGTTTAAAAAACACATGAAACAGATATTTTTAAAAAACAGCAATTTTGCAGCTGAAGTACTTTGCAGATGTTGGCTTTCTATGTTTCATATGTAAATCATCTGGACTCTGCTCACCTATTTGCAGCAGCACAGGCGTCACCAGCGCTGTCTCCATGGCGTAGCAGAACTCCCGACCGAACATCACGGCTCCGTGCATCACCCATCGCTTTAAAGGAATCCCTTCGATCGATCCTTCGCTAGCAGATTCCTCTCCTCCTCGGCCTCCTTCTGCCGCTCCGCCTCCGCCTCCCAATCCATCCGTCTCGCCTCCTGCTCCTCCTTTCTCCTCATCCAAGCCTGATGCGGTGGAGTTTTTGCTGCTAACCCCACCCACCAGAGATCCGACCTGCATGGTGTCAGCCTCTGTGTTCTGGGGAGGCATGTTGGAGGGCATGCAAGCAACAGGAAAACAAGCGCACCCCTTCTAACAATACTACAGTACAAAAACAATACTACTCCTAATACTCCTCAATTCAAGTTACTTGTACTTTAAAACGAGTAGTGACTTTCTAGAAGTAACTTCATTACAATCTTTACAAGCTACAAAATGCAATCAGTGGTTGTAACTTGCTAGTTATACACTTGTTACATCTATTTCTTAAGTGTTCAAGAAGTGCTGAATAACTGTAATAGATGCTTCCCAGCCTGCGAGGTAATAAAATGTATGTTAAACTGGGTCCTACTAAAACTATAAAGGTTAAAGACACTAAATATTTGCAGATAAACTAATCTGCTATCCCCAGATGTATCACAGATCCAGAAAAAGAAGGAAAAAAATTAGCAATCAGCTGTCCTCTAAAGTTGTCCTCCAAAAACACTGCAAATTGAAATTCCCAACCTTTTTAATCCTTGTTTAAATTGGGAAGAAGGGAAAAAATCTAATAAAATCAGCTTTCTCAAGGCCTGTAGAGAATCTCAGAAAAATAAAGGAAGCAGTTGAATTTCATGGGAAGAGTAAGCGGTACATTCCAAGAGTGGCTTTGTGCACTTGCTTCTTTTGTGTGTGCACGTCAAGGTGTGAGAGAAACTGCTTGCAAAACAGCTTTATTTGGTATGAAAGTGTTTGTGTGTGTAGCTGTGTTTGTTGTGTGTGTGGGTGTGTGTGTGTGTGTGTGTGTGTGTATGTGTATGTGTGTGTTGTGGGTGTTTATGGCTTTTTTGTCATCGAGGTTTGTGCCTCTTTTTTCTTACTGTCTATTACAAGCAGTAAAAATCCATATAGAAGACCATTCAGTGAGTTCCAGAGTCATTTTCTGTATGGAGGGCTGGATGGAGGGCTGGATGACGGAGTGGGTGGGGGCGATCAAAAGGTCGCGGGGGGAGGGGGTCGGAGGAGGAGGGAATGCGGCGACGGTAGGCGGAGCTCCTCTGAAAATCCCCATCGAATGGCTGATCAATCTGGAAGAAAAATGGCAAGAGGAGAGAAAAACAGCAGTGAGCTACAGCTGCTTAAATCTTAAACATGTCCTACTGTTATCTCCTAATGAGCTCGGTAGGTGTGGGAAGGTGCGAGTGATGTGATTTTTCATGCATCAGCTGAGATTAGATGAGGGAGTGGTTTTATTCTTGAAGGTGATAACGATCAGCTGCAAAAACAACAACTGAGCTTGTATAAAAGAAACTACAGCCGTTTCTTTTTGCTCTTACATGATTTATCAGCAACTATAAAACACAGTGCAAACAGGCTTCTCATAAAATTTGGCACCGATGCATATGCAATCTACACTTATGGTCCATTTCATTAGATACACCTGTTCAACTGCTTGTTAATGCAAATATCTAATCAGCCAATCCCAGGGCAGCAACGAGGTGCATTTAGGCATATAAACATGATCAAAATGGTGTGCTAAAGTTCAAATTGAGCATCAGAATGGGGAAGAAAGGTGATTTAAGTGACTCTAAAAAAAGGGCATGGTTGTTGGTGCCAGACAGGCTGGTCTGAGTTTTTCACAAACTGCTGATCTGATGGGAGTTTCCCACACAACTACCTCTAGGGTTTACAGAGAAAGAGAGGAAATATCCAGTGAGCAGCAGTTGTTTGGGTGAAAATGCTTTGTTGAAGCCAGAAGTCAGATTGCTTTGAGCTGACAGGAAGGCAATAACTAAAAAAAAAAACCAAAACACTTGCACAAGGTATGAAGAAGAGTAGAAGATCAAACAAGGTGCAACTCCTGTCAGCTAAGAACAACTCCTGTCACCAAAATACTCAAATAACCTCTGGAGTGACCAGAAGGTCAATAAAGCACCTTCTGGGATGTGGCAGAACAGAAGATTCACATCATGGATGTGCAGCCGATTAATCTGCAGCAACTGTGTGATGCTATCAAGTCAATATGGACCAAAATCTCTGAGGAATGTTTCCACCAACTTGTTGATTCTGTGCCACAAAGAATTAAAGTAGCTCTGAAGATACTACCAAGGTGTAAATAACAATCTGGCCAGCGAGTATACGTAGCGAAATACTGGCAAAAAAAAAAAAAAGTAATGACACGAAAGATTTTAAAAACAAAAGAAAAATGGGAAATCAAAATCTTTTCGAAAACAAGTTCCTATTCAAAAGTCTTCATTATAAAGCCTGTGGATAAGCATCTCAAAATAAACCAGTGTTTCTGCTGCTTTTTACAATTCAAAGTTGTGAAAATACCAACAAAATAATCTTCCAATAACTCACCAATAATTCAAATCTGGACACATAAAACCAAAGTTATATACAAGGTCACAGCATAGAGACAAGGTCTGTTTCTGTAACTTGGCTAACCAAGTCACACGTGTTTGAATTTGTAAGTGTGAGTTTTTTGGGGGTTTTTTAAGTATCAGCATGCTTCTACCACAATTCAGGCAGACACATACGTATGTGTTCTCTCGTATGAAAAGAGTTCATTTTTAAACGGTGTAATTGGTTTGAGCACATGATTCATCCGCGCAGACACTCGGACAGTCTTTGAAACTGGACGGGAAGGATGAAAGAATGCCATGTGTTTTATGAGCTAAAATGTTTTCAAGTTGAGCTACTGTCTCAAACAGAGGGCTTGTGTGTGTGGCGAGAAGAAACGACAGACATGCAGATGAAAAAAAACAATCTTTAAAAAGGAGAAGGAGAAAGAGGAGTACAAGAAGGGAAGGCCTTCAGCTAATAGCGCGCTTCACGGAGAGACAGAGAAACACAGTCTGCATGGAAGTTCAATACAATTTCCCACAGAGCCGAATTCCAAAGTGTGTGTTTTTGTGCGCAGTGGCCCACTGGATTAAAACCCATGGAGACCGCACGATTCATCACACCCAACACACACTAATGCTTGCCACGTGAACAGCACACATGCAAAATAACAGTGCTAAGACTCTTATCGAGCCTCTTAGCGAGAGATTGAGAAAGTAAATAAAATTAGAGTGAGGGAAGGAGAGCGGTGACGGGAGGAAGGGTGGAAGGAAGGAGGGTTTTTGACAGGTGGATGGTGGGAGGAACCAGCGATGGAGGGGAGAAGAGGCAGATCAACAGAGTTTCTTTCTTTCCTCCACTCCTAGTGTACTCACATGTCCTCATTAAGATTCATGATGTCCCCGAGATGGTCCTGAATATTTTATCGCGCACAAACAGACAGGACCCTCATCACCTGACCTCACACACTGCAGCAGATTACATAACGGCCCCTCTTCTTTCCGGGCGTACATTTAAAATACAAATATGCCCCAAATGTTCTTGTGAATTATGTTTGGATTTGAGCACAACAACAGAAAGAACATCAGAATCTCCACGGTCAAGACAGAGGGAACGCGATGTGCTGAAAGTCTCCATGTTGAAACATGCCAACAACAACAACACCAACAAAATGTTCCAATCTGGTTGGCCACATATCTCCAAATACTTCATGTGTGATGGTGGACATAATTTATGGTTCCCAACAGGGTGGAGACGCTGCAATTCTGGTCATGGGAAGCAATGAGTTTTTTCCCCCCCCAAATGGTACACATCAATGTGAAGTTTAAAACTACATGAAGAAGAAAAACACAACCGATACAGTAGCAACACGATTAAATACTTATCGTGAGGATGTCAATTGGTTTCTTCATCTATGACAGGCCTTCAGGGGCTACAGCCAACCACTAAATTCAGCTCTTAATTTACTGCTTAATAATAAACTATTGAGAATTTCCTAAAGCAATTTTTCTGCTAATCGTTTAATATATTAATAATCAGTTTTGACACCATTAGGGTCTCAAAATAAAAGAAATAATTTAAAAGGGGTGGAAAGTAGTGGTTAAAAACTATATTTCAATTAATAATGTTTTCTTGGTGATTGCAGCAGCCTTTACGAGTGAAGAAAATGAAGGGTATTCTTTTCAAATGAGCTACAGTCACTGACAGTACTGACACTAAAGGTATCAGCAGCAGGATTATAGCAGTGACACACAATAAGTCAAATGTAAGCACAAAAGTAGCCTAGATTGTAGTTTCCAGTGATTTTTAGGCAAAAATGTGACATAACTGCTTCAGTTTATTAATAACTAAAGTAACTAAACTTGCACAGTAAGTGAGTGCAACTAGCAAGTTCTCTAGAAATGGTCGGTTGAGTCGTTAGTTTACTTTTGTCTAAATGACCCGCTGCAAGAGCTTTGTGTTTTTAGCTTGGGTGGTGACGTTTGTTGTTCCCACCTTTTGCTGGAACAATGTATTAAGCTTTGTTGAAGGGTCATTGAAGCAGCTCTCTGATGTGCAGCTCTTGCCCTCAGACATGTCTGGGCTTATCTCGTTGTGCACTCTAGGCGTGGAGACTATATGACTGGTATGGGCATGTGACACCTCTAAGTCAAGTTAAAAAAATTGCACTGGTATTATATAGCACAGCCTTAAATTTAAGGTCACGCAGCTTCGATTAGCAAATGTTTTGTCCGAAAGTATACAGCTGGAGTTTCTGTAACAGTCAAGATTTTAGTGAATAGCTTTAGTGAAAAATGACGGCAGCGCTGATGCATACAGTCATACACTACCACACAATGATTGAATAAATAGTACCTAATGCTCGCTGCCAATTTCAAGCTTTACAACTCTGCAATTTGATTTCAGTATTATAATGACATTTATATAATGACATTTCTCTGCCTGGAAGTAAACCTATAAAGAAATGCATAAAACTAACTGAAGGTTGGACGTGCTTCATTTTTGTGATACTCAAAAATAACTCAAGTGACTGGGAGAGGACACCTGCTGAGCACAAACGGCCGCATTAACCAAAGAAATGCTAAACAGCGTGAGTTGTCAGGGTGAAAACTGCCATGAAACAGGAGCTGAATCAATTTGAATAATTTGGTAAGCACAAGAAGCTTTTAATCCATCTCTTCTGACAGTGAAATCCCGAGTCTTAATAGCAAACCATCACCAACACCATGGTCCAAGTCTCTTCTTCAGATCCTTTTTAGGCCTAAATTAATTTTGTGTAGGTTGTAAATATGAGGATGGGTGCCTTTAAGGACAGTAGCTTGCAATCTCCTGCTCAGGCAGCACTATTCATCCTGCATTTGTAGTCCTCAAACACACACACACAGACAGCAATGCATGGTTTCTAATCATCAGTCCACACACATGCGGCACCAGCTTATATAGAACTGAAACTCAGCTTTCCAGGGAGCAACCGAGTGAAATGCAAGGAAAGACTCACTCACAGACTGAAACACAACTAAGACAAATGCTTGCAATGAACCTTTAAAAATCCTACTGAAGAAGATGAGAGGAAAATAAGAGCAGGAGGGAAGCAAAGGAGATGCCTGTGAAGTTCAAGGTCAGACAAATTAAGAGTCTGCCATGTCCCATGTCTCACAGAGCAACACACACACACACAGGATTTCTGACTCTTCAGTGCACACACTAAACACGCATAACCCGAGTCTATTTTAGTGAGTGTTTATTCTTGCTCCATAGACCAGATTACCTGTGACACAAACGTGAAATCAGAGCGAGCGCTGTCTTTCTCACTTCATCCACCTTCTCCGTTCCCCTGATCCTCTTTCTTTTTCAGTGCTGACTCATGACTCGCTTCTGCAAAGCAAGTTGACTTTGCAGACATGAAAACCATGCAAGTCTTATCAGTTATG